CTACTCGCCGTAGACCACCATAAGCGGTGAAAGGGGCTAGCGTGCAACGTCGCTGTGTCAAAAGCATGAGACGCACGAGACAAGGTACAATGCGGTCATGTATGTCGTAGACACTTGGTGGCATCTTGAGTGCTTGGACGCTGCCTCGTTTAGAGAACGCTTGATCTGGAGCAGATTCCGATCTGTGTGCTCTGTGAAATCATGTGAGCATGTCCATGACTTGTGGTTTGTTTGCTGGATGGGGACAGCTGCTGAGACTGCTAAGAAGGACAGCTGCGATGGCTAAGAAGCCGGCCTCTGGTTTTGGCATTGCTGGCCTCAGGTCCATCGCCAGGGTGCCTCGACCGACGCCGTGTCTTTCCAGTCGCACATGTTCGCCACCGCGAAGACCCCGCCCCAGCTTGTCTCAAAGCTTGTGATAAGAGCTGCAGCCCATCAATCGCCATGCTTGTGCTGAAGCTCGGACTGCAGGAACGCCCAGGTGGCGGTTCTGGACACCTACACGGGTGAGGCCAAAGCAGCGCTGCTCTTGGCCAATTCTACAGGCGCAAGATGCGGGGTAAAGCTTCGTTTAGCGCGAATTTACGGTCACGTGCTGGATCCCGAGCAGGGCAGTGGGAGGGCACCGTTCTGCCCTTTGGCACGGCGTTCGGCGTCCCTGACGGCACCTACCAGGCCTGAAGGCTGCCTTGATTCTGCTGAGCCACAGCGCCTCGTGTCGCAAATGTCCTGCCTAGCGGCCGCGTCACGTCTACCTTTTTGCATCCATGCGCGCGGCCCGTGTGGCAGATCATTCTCAGCGATGGCAGCGCCAACTCTAACATCCGCGCTCCCTTTACCGCTGTCAAGGGTGAAAGCTTCCAGGATTGCATTAGAGCCAGGATGGAACCCTCATGTCGAAGAAGGCGTTTCGACAGTAGTCTGACTACATTACCATGCCACCATCTGTCGTGCAAGCCAGAGATCGATAAGGCTACATTGTGCTGCGCACCGGGGTTACCGAGAATGCAGCAAACAGTTCCAGCGGCTGGGCTACCAGTGTTGCACATGGATTTGTATGTTTGCATGTCTAGTCCTGAGAGATCATTTGGCAGCACGTTCTTGCACTTTCTGGTCCGCACGGGTTACAAGAAGCGGTGGTCCCAAGGTATCAAATATCTCCAGGACCTGGTTGTGTTTCCAGTGACCAGCGCTGGCTGGGGCCAGAGAAGCAATGCTGTGCGCCTCTTGACCGGCTTGCTGCTGCCAATGCTGGCTCTAATTAGCTGGCTTTGAAGCACACGGGCGGATGCGTCAGCTTCCGTAATTAGGCTGCTATGTACAGGCTTGTGTACAGACTCATAGATACCACCTGACAGAAAGGTCTGGCTCAAGGTGGGTGGCCTTGCCGCTTATAGACATGGCACAACACTGGTCCCCTGACCTGTCGCGTCCAGGAAAGAGATCACTCATGGGCGCAAGGTCAGATAGTCGTGTAATTACTATACGCAGTCGCACGTTGGAGAGTTGCCTGCGAGCCATTTCGGAGCATCATGGAGGCTGAAAGCTGAAAGTTTGCAAAGCTGCGGTTCATCGCATGCCTGAAGCTTTTCTGTTAGGTAGAGATTGTTTAGCAGGCAGAAGGAGCAAGTGAAGAACCACAGGGAAGTGACCATCTCTACGGTGTGCAGCCACTCCGCACGTGTTTCTAGCAATGGAGCATGACCACCATTTTACGAGGCCTCAAGGCTACAGGCTCTGGGGGTCGGGTTTCAGGAGTCATGGTCTGTGTGCAGGAAGCAATATAACCCCAATATACTACAGTAGTTTCCATTTTCTTTTCCACTATCCCAATATAACCCCAATATACTATAGTACTTTCCAGTGGTGATCCTGACTGACGCAAGCCATGGCATGGTGCTCTTGTGGGAAGCTGTGAAGCATACCATGCATGAATAACACCAGATGTCATTCTTTTTGCAAGCATGTGGAGCCATTGTGTCCTGTCTCCCCGCAACAGGCATGGCAGCAGATCTGACATTCTTGCGGTATGAGGCATCGAGTGGCTAAATTGAGTTTTTTGTTGTGTATCACCCTCCAGAATTTGATCATTTGCCTTTTTCATGGGCAGGTGCTGGCTTACTGGCGCTCTAGAGACTCCATTTGATGTAGCTAGGTTTTTCTTAGAGGCCTCGTTTGATCAAAATCCTTCAGCTCCAGTCTTGCTACTAATGCAACCGGCATGATAGTCCTAATTTAGGTGGACCCCCCACCCAGTGATAGTGACTATAAGGGCTAATAGGGATTATATTAGGGTCCTCTTATATTCTTATTATACCACTATTACAGGGTGGGGGGTCCTCCTAAGTCCTAATGTTCATTCTGGTACGCAAATCCCGGATCCTGACGGCGAATCCTACCAATTACCTTCTCTCAGTCGTCCAAGGAGGGTATAATAGTATGTTATTATATGAGCTATCGTCTAAACTCCTTAAAGCGGGGTTATATAGGGATTATATAGGGGACTACTATAGGGGTTACTAAGGGGGATACTGGGAGTTTAGACTATAGCTCATATAGTGTTTGTGGGGTCCACGCTCTGAGTTTCCACAGTGGTTCGCAGGCGAGATGTGCGTCAGTTTCAAGATGTTTCAAGGAACTACGAGGGCAAAAACAACCAGTACGATATATGTCATGCGACTACGCTACATTGTGTCTGCATGCTTTTACTCGAGTTTGAATTTGTGCATGTTTTTTCTTGGTCTTGCTGCCGCGTGTCAATTGAAGATTTGCCTTGGATTTGTTGGCATTTACGTACAGCTCATCACTGATTTCAAGCTGCCCTTCCGTGCTAGGCTGCGGTAGTGACCTGGCAGTGAGGCTTTGCTGGAGCCAGAGGCTGGGTTGCGTCTGCTTCATGTTGATTCTATATTTAGGGTCAGGCCAGGGTGGCAACACCGAGTGTGGCTGCAAGTTGCTTTGCAGTGTTGCCACAGAGTCAAGCAAAAGCTTATTTGAAATGGCTATACACGTTATTGTGAGTGATCCTGGCATGTCACGTGCCAGTGCCTCTCAGCTTCGATTACTATTGATCATGGAAGCACTTGCGCTTTTTAGACGGATATGTGCACATGTTGCCGCACTCGCGAAACAAACACGATGTTTCCTTTGGCAGGATTAGCCAGTTGCCAAGTTTGGTGGAGGTGCTACGTGCGCAGTTTGCACGCATGTTCTTCCAAGTCATTCTGAAAATTGATTTTTGCTGAAGCATGTGACAGAAGCTCCCAGACATGCTTACCAGGCGTATCATTCAAAAAAAACATGCTGTGCAAGCTGTGAGGTCAAACGTCTGTAGTCGACAGTCGAGACAACGAATGGCTTTAGGGTATGCTGCGACTCCGCCGGAACATCCAAGTGCTCAAGACAGCCCAGACTTGGTTTGATGAGGATAGACATTTCTTACACTTGTTGCTGCCATGGTTAGTGTGCGGGATGCTGTTGCACTTGCCTGCTTGGTTAGTGGCTTTTGGACTGCACAATGCTTCAGATATTCTGAGGCAAGTGGACCGGCTCAAGAGGATGCTTTGGCAGATGGCAGGTTCAACGTCAACTCTGTTGAGAGTGAAGCTACCCGCCTCTTGCCCAGGGAGAGCAAGCTGAGCCAAATGATGCTGGCAAAGATATTGCCGCCTGAAGTCCAGAAGGCCTTGATGAAAAAGGTAGACTTTATCACAGGGGAAGGTGGCCCCGCCCTAGAAAAGTTGAGCCGGCGCTATCATGACAGGCAGGACTTTGAAGTTGCATTGGCAGAGTTCCAACCAGGCACTGATGCAACGACTATTGAAGTCTTAAGCCGTCGTTTCAACGACAGGAGTGATTTCGAACAGGCTCTGACCAAAGTTCCTGCTTTTGTGGATGGGTCAGCTGTGGAGATGTTGAGCAGTCGATACAGCGACCGGCGGGACTTTGAGAATGCCTTGGAGAAGCTCAAGCCCGGCATGAATGGGAAGACCATTGAAGTCTTAAGAAACAGGTTTAATGATCGGCACGACTTTGAACTGGCTTTGACCAAAGTGCCATATTTCGTTGATGGCTCTGCGTTAGAAGAGCTGAGTCATCGCTACAGCAACAGGCGGGACTTTGAGAGTGCTTTGGACAAGTTGAAGCCGGGCATGGACTCCCAAACTATTGCGACGTTGAGGAGGCGTTTCAATGACAGGAGTGATTTCGAACAGGCTCTGACCAAAGTTCCCGCTTTTGTGGATGGGTCAGCTGTGGAGATGTTGAGCAGTCGATACAGCGACCGGCGGGACTTTGAGAATGCCTTGGAGAAGCTCAAGCCCGGCATGAATGGGAAGACCATTGAAGTCTTAAGAAACAGGTTTAATGATCGGCACGACTTTGAACTGGCTTTGACCAAAGTGCCATATTTCGTTGATGGCTCTGCGTTAGAAGAGCTGAGCCATCGCTACAGCAACAGGCGGGACTTTGAGAGTGCTTTGGACAAGTTGAAGCCGGGCATGGACTCCCAAACTATTGCGACGTTGAGGAGGCGTTTCAATGACAGGAGTGATTTCGAACAGGCTCTGGCCAAAGTTCCCGCTTTTGTGGATGGGTCAGCTGTGGAGATGTTGAGTAGTCGATACAGCAACCGGCGGGACTTTGAGAATGCCTTGCAGAAGCTCAAGCCCAGCATTGGTGCAGAGACCGTTCAGGAGCTAGGTGCCCAGTCCAAGAGCAGCATGCTACTTATTTTGGGGCTGATTTTAGATAGAGTGGGCAGGTATCCTTTCTGCAATAATTCATTTGAGACTACGGTCTTATGTGCTCTTCATATTGCACTGTAATGTAGCCCCGGGTGGCATTCTCATGCAGCCTCAGCAAAGGTGAATGACTCCCATGTGGAAAGTGCTCAATGACAGTTCTGGCTTCAACCAGCATCAAGAGTTGGAGCAAGGCCTGGAGAAGTTGAAGTCCACTAGTTGGGTCTTGTGCGGTGTGAAGATCCGCCTGGTGCTACAGCATTTGCCAAAGCCGAGGCGGGGAGCAGCGTTAGCTACTACTGGCGCCATGATGACGCTTAGAGCCAAAGCTGCGCCTGTGCCTATGTTAATTAAGTCTCAAATCCCCCAAGGTAACCCATCCATGTGGGGTGCAGTGTACAAGTCACAGAAAGTGGCAAGCTCAGGTCTGCTGCCAGCTCCAAATTGGTTTGGAGGAATCCTGCAGACATCTGAGGCGCTGAGTCGTTCCATTGCCAAAGCAGCATCCAGCATGCTCGGCTGAAAATGACATACCCTTACCCGCACAAAGCACACATGCGAACCTGTGGTCGGAATAGCAGACGCCTCCTGGCAGTCTTGACTAGACGTCATTTTGTTTGTAAGGGCGGCTTGCTGTAATACTGTCTTTCAATTATGGGCTGACACTTGTGCTTTTGCAGAATGTCGGATGTAACCCAGAACAGCAGCGCAAGGCTTTGGCAGAGTTCTGCCATGGACACTTATTGGCGCTTGACTTTCGTAGGTAATACCTCCAGGCCCTGTAGGAGGCGTGCTGAGGCGTTTGCCTGAGCTCTTTTGAGCAGAAGCGGCTTGCGCTGCAGCCTACGGGCTCAAGCTCCGCGACACTGAA